TTGGGGAAGAAGAAGATTCAATAAAATAATATTATGTGTTTGGTAGGTAGGAGATAAAAGTAATAATAAAATAATATGTAAGGCATATTTTAGTGGGGTGATGTAATAAGTGGTTTTATTTTTGACTTATTTTTTTAGTAGGGATTTAAAAGTAAGATGTTTAAGGGGGTAGGGAGTTAGGAAGAAAAATATTTGTATAGAGATTGAGGAGGAATTCAATTATGGGTTTGGGGATTTATTAGGAACTTCCCCATACTATAAATAAAATATTTTCCTTCTCTACTTGGGCCATAAATAAATTAATAAAACGAGACGAAATAAATACTTATTCCTTATTGAGGAGGAATTAATAAGGATGGATTAGAAGGAAATAAAATTCTCCTACACTCCTACTCTAAATTGAAGTGAGTTGGGAAAACGTTCTAAAAATTTGATTTCTGATATGGTCCGAGATCGGTGGCTCCGGTCTTACGGAAGGTTCTTCCCGGCTATGGCGTGATTCGGTTGATTCGGTCCGGCCCAAGTTTGTGTGCTCTCCGATACCTGAAAGCGCGCCGGAATTTCTCCGGCGCAAAACCCTCCGACGCCCAAGTTAGGATCTCGGATTTTTTAGAGGGAATTGTATGTAATAAATGTTGTAGTAATGATATTAATGAAGTCTTACCTTCTACTCCAGAATTTATCGTATATATAGTGTCTAATAGTACGGACTACGTGGTTATTGCCGTTACTACGGGTCGAATTCTTCTGGTTCGATACCTTATGGGTCGACTTCTTGTGAGTAGTGCCCCGTGGGTTGGCCGTTCATGATTCGACCCTCCCGAGTCAAGTTAGCCTTACACCATGCGCTCATGCATGTGCTAGTCGTTAGGCCGAGGGGTTGAGACCCTCACGAGGGTCGATCACATGGGATGGGTCGATGGGTCGATCCCATGGGATGGGCCGATCACATAGGATGGGTCGAGACTCTTACGAGGGTTCAATCGGATGGGCCGACGGGTCTTAGGGTCGATGGGTCGACGGGTCTTAGGGTCGACGGGTCTTAGGGTCGATGGGTCGACGGGTCTTAGGGTCGACGGGTCTTGGTTCGCCCGACTTAGTGTTATGGGCCTTAGCTTAATCGGACCGGACAGGTATATAATCCCTATCAACTACTCCCCCCTATTTACGATTATGCGCAACATAGTTCGGCTAATCGTAAATATGCAAAATTGGTTGGTCGCAAACATATGCTTTTGGCTCGGCTCTATGCCCGGTTATCCCTTAAATTGAGAAGCCCGATCAGACGTAAAATATCTGCTTCCCTAAGGGGTGATTTACAGTGACAAAAGTCAGTTGATAGGACTTACGCAACACTCCCACTGCCTTTATATCCTAATTACCGAATTCACACTTGAAAGCAAAAGCTGGCCCATGAACAATGTTTGAACAATGCCTTTTCAAAAATCAGATTCTTAGCATTTGAATAATGTTTGACCACTACCTACCACATCCTTACCTACCAATATTTTGTGGCTCACATTCATTCTACTACGTTAAAATTCTTTATCCCTTTATGAATATCTTCTCTTCCTTCCCTACATCCATTTTTCTCTCCTTTCTCTTCACCTCTTTTGCTTCTACACATACGACGGTTAAGCACGGTTTTGGGTTGATTTATCAATTAACCCTCTCCTCCGACCATCTCTCTTCACTCGACGACGGCAAAGCAAGGCTCACGGCTCGGTTCTCTGGTCGTCTCCTCTCTCCAAACTCGACCTAAAGCAAGCTCTTCCGCCCCGGCTCCCCCGGGGCTCACGACGCGATTTTCCGGTCACCCTCACGCCTCCTCTTGGGCTCTCTCCTTCCTCGGTCATGGGTACGGTTTCTAAAAATCACCTAAGATTTCATGTTGTCTTGCTTGTGTTGTTGTTGTGTTCTTCTCTTTTGGGATGTGCACATTTTTTTGCATTAATGCCTCAATTCTTAGGCTAAATAGCTCCACTTCCGGGGTTAGGCCGGGTTTTCTTGCCCAATAGTCCTTATTTAGTTTCTTTTTCGTGCCCTTATGTAGATATTCCTTTCGATCCTCCCTCCGACACCCGCGTTCCTCATTTAATCGATGAGGCCGAGGGAGTGTTCACTTGGGACGAGCTTCAACGGTTTGGAGACTCGCACCCAAACGACCCTT